GCTTTCTGCTCCCGTAAAGATTTACAGCCTCGGAAACCCTGTGCAGGGTCGCTATGAGTCGGAACCGACTCCACGGCACTCAACAACAACAACAAGGCTGAAATACAGACAGGGCAAATAACTGTACCAAGGTTCCATAGCTAGTGTGAAGCTCGAATCATAAACCTACAGCTTTTCCACAAAGTGGACACACAGGTGGATGACAAGTATCCGAGTCAAGAAGCCCAGCCTCGCCGGGTTCATGCCCCTCCACTCATGACTTCCTTCTCCCCAAAGACAACTATGATTGATTTTCACTTTTACACAGTAGGTGAGTTTTCTTTCAGTACTTTGAAGATACCTCTCCATCATCTTCTGGTTGCAGACTTTCTGATGAAAACTTTGCTTTAATTCTTATCTTTGCTCCTCTGTATGTGATTTGTCTTTCCAGAAGTTAGCTTTATCTGGATTTTTTTAATTTTATAGAAATGGAGTCATATAGTGTGAGTGTTTTTACTCCTGGCTTCCTTCGCCCATCACTATGTTTCTTAGCATCATCTAGGTTACTGTGTGCAACAGTAGATTGTACATTCTCAGTACTATATGATGTTTCCAGTGACTGCACCACAATTTATGCTTCCACTCTCCTGTTGAGGGGCACTTGGGTCATGTTCAATTTTGGATAGTTACAAATAAAACTGCTATGAGCACTTTTGCACAAGTCTGGTGGTTCCAGTGTTCACACATTTCTTTGAGGTGTATACCTATCAGTAGAGTTGTGTTTTGGTTGTGGATATGTTCAGTTTTAGCAGATTCTGTCAGAAAGGTTTTCTAAAGCGGTTGTACCCTTTACCCCTCCACCCAGAAGTGAATGAGAGTTCTAGTTGCTCCATGTACTGGCTAAAACTTGGTATTGTTAGCTAGTCTGTTGACCTTTAGCCCCTGTGATGGGCATGCAGTGGTGTGGTATCTCACTGTAGTAGGATGTGAGTTTCCCTGATGATTAATGCTGTCCCTTTTCATGTGTTTATTGGCTATTTGGTTATCCCCTGTTGCTCATTCAGTTTTAATTTCCATTTCTC